ATGACTCAACCCAAAGAATGTTGATGTGATTAAAAATTAATTATTTTAATAATATATTAAATTGTATAAAAAAATGAAAAAAAATTATATATAATTTTTTTCCTTAAAATAATATAATAATCAAGTCATGAGGTTAACTATCAAAATTTCTCATTAGGATACAAACTTTAATTTTTTTTCTAATTAAGGACCTATATATGTTTATGTGCTCAGATTACACTCATGACTCAACCCAAAGAATGTTGATGTGATTAAAAAACAAAGGGAAAACGAAAACTTAAATTATAGAAAAAGAAATATTATTTCTCTGTCTCTCATAGTTTTGTTTTTGTCAAAGTTATGCTTTTGAATAGGAAAAGCATGAATTGAAATCCTTAATTAGGAAAAACTAAATCTAGTATCCTTCATTAAAAAAGTGACAAAGTTTATGGCCAAATTAAATTAACTATCTTCTAGTATTCTAGAAAAATAATTTATTAACAATGTTTTATAACAATGAAATCTTATAATGCCATGAGATTGTTGTTCTGCAATATCTATTATATGGATTGCATATATATTTTATAATTATAGATAAAGAAGGAACCAACTCAATATTGGAGGATTTATCCTCATTAATAATGATAAAACATGTAGTTTGCTCAAATTGCATAATATCTTTTTATAATATTATATAACGTAATTTTTATTTAAAAATTTATTATATAATTTAAATTATATTAAATTATATAAAAATATTATTATATAAAAATAAGTTTTATAATATTAACAATTATTTTTTATTACATAATTTTTATTTTATAATTTAATAGTATTTATATTACAAAATAAAAACTCACCTTTATTTTGTTGTTTAATTCAGGTAGGACTAATATCATACGCAATATCATATTTTAAACGATCTAAAAATTGAAATAATCCATCTCTAGCTGAGACACACAATCGAGGCTGCGCCTAACTCTCTAATTTCTAAACCTACAGTGCCCCAGAGCTATCAGCTATGACACTTCAGTGGCGATGCACTGTGGCTTTGGTGATCCAACTCATACCTTAGCCCTCCCCTGATGTCAGACAAATAGTAGGAAGAGCAGTGCTAGGGGCACTCGCCTCTTGCACTCTCCGGCCAACACTTCCCCTTTCATTGGGCCACGTAAGTTTGTTTCAGGCTTTGAATGCAACCTCTTACCGACCAGACTAACGTGGCCCAATAAGAGTGAAAGTGTTGGCCGGAGAGTGCAGAAGGCGAGTGCCCCTAGCACTCCTCATAGTAGGAAACAGCTTTGTCCCATCTTCTTCTCTCCAGAAGCTGAGATAAGATGAAGGGCCCTCCAAGTAAGACTATAATCACACGCCATCAAAATGCATTAAATTCAATGGTTCTGATGATTCTTGTATAACAACGGGACCCACCTTTACTCTTTAGTTATCATTTCTAAGCTAATGATGATGAATACTTAAATGAATTTTTCTTGAAGAAAATGCTTGTGGCATGTTTATTGGTTTAAGGGAAGCTTTTCTTTTGTTAAATTTTTTTTTTTTAACAAGTTCTCAAAGAGTGGATTTCATGATAAAAGGAAAAATGCACTTTAAGTTAACAAGTTGTCAATTAATTTGAAGGGTTAAGTGCTTTTTTGTTAAAATTTTGGTTATAAAAATATTTTAAAATAATATAATTATAATGTAATATAATATTATAATTTTATAATAATAATATATAATAATATAACTAATTTTTAATTTATTAATAATATTATATATATTTATTTAACCATTATATATTTTTAATTTTATGTTTTATTGTAATTATATTGTTATTAAAAATATTAAATAAGTTTTTAATTATACTAATAAATATATTTAAAATTTTAAAACATCATTTAAACGTAAATAATTTTAATGAATCAAATTGTTAATTACCTTTGAAGGCAAAGGTGGCATCCTGCCTTTATTTATGAACTAAACACTTCATAAATACTTGTAGAATTAATTAGCTTATAGCCTATCTAGTTTGACAAAGGAAAGGAAAGTAGCTTCATATTAATTTCTTTTTATAAATATCATAGCTATAATGTCATAATATTATAAACTTATAATAAAATGTGTTATTATATTATTAATTTTTTTATTTAAGAGTTTATTAATAATATTATATATATTCATTCATTTAATACTATGCAAGATTATAAATTTGTAATCTTTTATAGTATTGTAGCTATACCATACCCAATTTCTTTTAGATTAAATGTTAATTTTGGTCCCTTAATTTTAAAATTTTACACAAATTTTATCTTTTAACTTTTTTTGCATTTTTTTAGTCCCTTAATTACGAAAAATTTACTTTTTTAATCTTTCGTCAGCTAATTTGTTAAATTTATTTAAATCTACACATTTTTAGGTACTCAACTTTAAGTTAAAGGATGAAAAATGAGCAAATATTAGAAGTTGAGAGATTAAAAATGTGTAAATTCAAATAGATTTAATGGATTAACAAATAGAATGATTAAAAAAGTGCATTTTTCATAGTTAAATGATAAAAAAAGTACAAAAAAAAGTTGATGACGAAAATTATGTAAAATTTTAAAGTTACATTTAAGCTTTCCTTTACCATTTTAGTACAACTAAATTAGAAGAGAAAATAGAGGGGAGACAAGGAAATAAATGGAAGAATATTGGTGGTGAAATTAATTATTTAATTAAAATATTGCATATAACATTAATAGTCAAATTAATGCTTAATTTTGATACCAACTAATGTTTAAAAGTTGTAAACATGTTAGGAATAAAAAAAGTGTTGTAACTCATACCATTCCAAGTCATAAAACATAAACAAAATACTAAAAATTTTGCAAAAAAATAAAGTTTTTTTTTTTCATATGTACTTTAAGAATATAATTATTATATTTTCTAATATTAATTAATGTTTAAAAATATAAAATTTTAAAATTTATTATTAATTTCACTATCAATGTTGTATAGATCATTTTAATTAAATAATTATTTAAATAAAAATTAATTTTTATTTTTTAATATTGATTAATATAATAAAAATACAATAATTACACTTTAAGTTAAAAACCTAAAAAGAAAACACATTTTAAAAAGTTTTGAGAAGGAAAAAGTTTTAGGTATTATTAATTGTTTTTTTGTACATGGAAAATTATTAAGGAAGGAAGTATTTTTTAAATTATTAATAAAAATTAAATTCTCAATTAATTAAACTTAAATATTAAAAATTAAAAACGAATTACTAGGTTCAAAGGTAAGTTTTTTATGGTACCACATATATGACGCATTTTCCTATTGATTCGGAAAATATTGAGTGAAATATTTTTTAAAGCCTTGGATCAACATCACTATCAAGAGCATGCACAAACTCTCATATCACATTTTTCCGTGGTGATTCATTGATTATCACTTCAATTCAATAGAATTATCGACAAATTACATCTTTAATTAGAGATTAAATCTCGTTAAAAATAAGATACTACTAACTTAATTTTTAATTTTTAACTTTTAATCATTATTTTTGTAAAAAACAAAAAAACTCCCATATCATATTTAGGCGGCCACGTCACCATCATAACCTACAGCCTGGCGAGCTCCCCGATTCAAATTGCGCCTCCTATCATCACCACCCACGTGGACACCTCTGTCTGAACAGCTGTTCCCCTTTCGGAACCCCCTCCTATAAATTCATCTTCACTTCCCATTCCTCACTCCAAATTTCGAAATCCATTTTAACTCCTTGGTAGTGGCTCTCTATCCTTCGCCCTTCAATATGGAATTTATTTACCGTGTTGCCACTCTCTTCCTCCTCTGTTTCATCCACCCCTGTTTCTCTGCGCTGGTTCAAGAGCAGCCCCTCGTGCTCAAATACCACAACGGTGCTCTCCTGAAAGGGAATTTCACTGTTAATTTGATCTGGTACGGCAAGTTCACTCCGGCGCAACGATCTATAGTCGTTGATTTCATCAACTCCTTGAGCTCAACCCGTGCGGCTGTCCCTTCTGTTTCGTCATGGTGGAAGACTACCGAGAAGTACAAGGGAGGCTCGTCTACCCTCACCGTTGGAAAACAGGTTCTTTTTGAGAATTACCCACTCGGTAAAATCCTTAAAAGCCCCCATTTACCGGCCTTGGCTAGCAAGTTCAATGGTGTCAATACCATCAATGTTATCTTGACGGCGAAGGACGTTGCCGTCGAAGGGTTTTGCATGAGGTGCGGTACCCATGGGTCGACGAAGGGTGTGAGTGCGTCGGCTCGCGGAGTCTTCTTGTGGGTTGGTAACTCGGAGACTCAGTGCCCAGGTCAATGCGCGTGGCCGTTTCACCAGCCCATCTATGGTCCTCAGACACCGCCGTTGGTCGCTCCTAACGGAGATGTTGGAATCGACGGGATGATCATTAACATTGCAACGCTTCTGGCCAACACCGTCACTAATCCCTTCAACAACGGCTATTTCCAGGGACCCGCTAACGCACCGCTGGAAGCCGTCTCGGCCTGCACAGGGATCTTCGGGTCTGGCTCGTACTCGGGATATCCTGGTCGGGTCCTTGTGGAGAAGAGCACCGGAGCGAGTTACAATGCAAACGCGAACAATGGCCGGAAATATCTTCTTCCGGCGATGTGGGACCCCCAGACATTAGCTTGTAAAACCCTGGTTTGAAGGAACAGGTGGCGGAAATCAACGGTGGAAACTTACACGTGGCAGGAATATGTAGTTATTTAGATGTGGATGTATGGGGATGCGAGGGTATGGGGTATGTTTTGTTGGCTGTTGTGATGACGACGTGTAAATTCGGGTTTTCATAAGATAAAAGAAACATGAGTAAAATATGAGGAAAAATGTTGTATACTTAAAAATAAGTTAAATGGAAAATTGGAAATAATTGTGAAAAAAAAAAGAAAAAGAAAAAGAACAAATCCCTTGAATGTGGAATTGGTACTAGGGATTGTGTTTGTTGGTGGGGTTTGGTTTTTGGTGTAGATAAGAATGATTTCAGTGCTGGGGTGGGGGCCTGAGAAGGTAGCAGCTGGGGTGTTGGTATTACTGCTATTTTGGTCGGTATGATTTGATCCTTATCTCCAACGATGGGATTCACGCCCGTTATGATATTTTACATTTCGTTCCAAGTGGATTGCAAGATTCAATTGCTAGTGTGCTTTTTTTCTTTTTCCTTTTTTTTTTTTTACAGAATAATTGTTAAAAAGTAAAAGTTAGTTAGGTTAGTATTTTCCTTATGATCAAGTTTGATTACTGGTCAGGGTGTAATTAATTTATCGACCTGTTAAACTGTGGTGGTTATTAATGAATCATAACAAAAAAATGCTTTGTAGTGTACATTTTAAAACACCTAATTAGGTTGGGAATTCTAACTTTATGATCACTGAGATCTCTATAAGATCATGAATATGCCCTTAATTACAAGCTCGAGTTGTTTGCAGTCAGTGCTAGATAAATGGACACTAATTTGCTAGTGTAATCAAATGTTACTCGCATTATATAACACTCTCTAGCACTCTTTTCCAAGCACCAATTGATTGGGCACCTGCCTTAAGATGACCCATTGACAATAAGCATTTGTAAAAAATGGATCAAATTGACTATAAACATTTTTAGAAAGTACACTTTTAACTTTTAAATGTTAGATTTAAATTTCACTTTTCTAAATTTGTACTTGCAACCAAAAAAAAAAAAGAAAAAAAAGGGGGAAAAACACCGACCGATTGGATCATGTATAAAGTATAAAACAACATATATGAAAGTGAGGGAAAATAGGTTATTTTAACAATTAAAATATTATTGTTATTATTATTAAAATTAAAATACATTTCACAAATCAACACAAAAATTTACTGAAAATATTTAAATAATTGTATAATAAATCAATTAAAATATCTAACCATTTTAATTTTCACCTTTTTTCAATATTTATTTAATTATTGATAAAAATTAGTTTACATATTTAGATAGCGTTTGATCCACCATGATGCATAAACAGAGAAAAGCACGAGGGAACATACTATATTAGCAAAACGGAAAACATTGAGTAAAGGAACATAGCAATACGAGCAACATAATTACACGGTTCATCATCAA